CGAGAGGCAGCCCGGGAGCGCTCGGGAGGGCACATCCTGTACCTGCTGAACTAGCCCTCATCGGGGAAAGATGGCTTTCTGCTCCAGGCTGGGAAAGTTTAGGAGGGGGCTGAGGACACAGCGTCCGTTTTGTTTCCTACCGCCGCCTTTCTCTCCCAGGGAGGTGAAGGGGGGTATTTTAGTTCATGGCAATGAAGAAGGTAAATTATGGCAGCCTGAGCGAACTAGAGCAAAACATAAGCATAACTTAAAAAACCCTCAGTTTATGAACACTGCCTCTTTGTTTTCCAGATGCTCTACCTGAATAGTTCAGATATTTCCAGCATCTTTTCTGATGCAGGGCTATCAGAAACGCTCACTCGTGAGGCACTCGTGGGGCTACGTCTAGTTTCCAGACTCTGGTATGTTTAGTTCAAAATAGTTATCAATTACGGTAATTACGATCATAATTAGATTAATGAACCGTTTGCAGCCCAACCTACCGAGTGCAAAAACTTCGTCTTCTCCCAACGTCGTGCACTGAAAGCGGGCTTTATGTAAACAAATCCAGATGAAGGCAGCGTAAATCTACAGAATCTACCCCCGGCTGCACTGGGGACTGGCTGCCGTCCTTCCGTCGTTAAAAAAAAAAAAAAAGAAAAAAGAAAAAAAAGACGACCCCAAGCTCGCAGGAGCCACCTCTGTGTTTCCACGTCAGGGAAAAACCCAGACTCTCGCTGCCTTCAGAGGTCTAGTGGCAATACAAAGGCTGCCCCGGAAAGCTCTAGGCTAAGCGTCGTCTTGTGGAGGGATGCGAAGGATTTGCTTACAGCAAAAAAAAAAAAAAAAAAAAAAAAAAAAAAAACCTCTCCCGTTTCCAGAAAGGAAAACCTAGCTGCATGTCCTCGATAACAAGTATTCAATAAAACTAGTTTTGCCAGCCATGTGTACGAAAGCCACGCATCTGGTAAGGAATAAAATGTTAGCGTTCAGCCCTTTATGCCAGAAGTCATATGCATTTTTTTGCCCTATTTCCCCCAGCATGAAACTGGTTTCTCTCCACAAAACCTTCCCTCGCTGGCTACCTTTTCTCTCCCCGCGATCCCCTCTCAGGCTTTATTGCCACCAGCAGCGAGAAAATGATGGTGCCCACCAACCGGGTCATTATTGTTTAATCGATGCATCTCCGGAGCATGAAAAGGGTACCCGAGACGCAGTTATTGATTTCCCTCCCCCTCTAACTATCACCCTCTTTTCCACGAATGAAATAAATAAATAGAAATTGCTAGCCGGGCTTTGCGATTCTGTCCCTGCTTAAGCTAAATGTGACCGTACATGTTCAATATTGCATGTCTGCTCTGCTAAAGACAGAGAGATCAAAGGTCATATTTAAGATTCAGGAGGAGGGGCGGGTGCAGATTAATTAATAAATTAATACAGCGACGCCTTTTATTGCCCAAGTCTAACATTAATCTACTTTTACGATCCCAGATAACAAGAACAACAGAAAAAAAGGGCACCCGGCAAACCCACAAAATTAAAAAAAAAAAAAACAAAACAACCCATCCCTCTAAAAAAACCCCACAACTAAAATCCGAAACCACACACACAAAAAAAACAAAAGAAAAAAACCCCGCGAAGAATAAGGGGGAAAAAGATGAGGGGGGAAAGCAAACCAGTCACTTACCAGGCTCTTTATTTGGGGGGGCTTGAGTGTGCAGACGCTACCAGCCTGTCTGCCTTTAATTAGTTGCACATCAGTCCCTAACACAAAGAAGAAGAAGAAGAAGAAAAATATCCAGATGTGCCTTGGCAGCTCCTCAATTACAACTTTGATACTTGTAAACAAACTGCGAGGGGCGGTGGGGAAGGTGGGGGGG